TGCGTCACACTCATTGCTAAATTCATTGTCAATTTGAATACAATTTTCATCAGAATCAACATCCTCGTCAAATATGCTAACGTCAAAAGCATCATCGTTATTTTCGTACTCATCTTGAGAATCATCTACAATAAAAAAAAGAAAACACTTGGAATAACTATATTCAAGAACTGTAAGACGTAAAAGCCAATTAGCCAAGTTGAAGAAAGAGAAATTTCTTATTTTTTACTTACTACTAGAAGGGTCATTCGGAATTACAATACCGAATTCTTTGAAAGCCTTAATAAAATTAGATCCGTTATCGGTAACGGTCGCTCTTATTGTCTCAGGCGTTAACTTGAATGAAACATGAATTTTTGACAACAGATCTGCAATAGCATCAAAACAGTGGGTTCCGAGGAATCTCTTGCATGCAAGTGCAGCCGACTTTCTTTCCAATGTTTCAGGATGTACAAGTAAAGTTAAATTGTTGTATTGATTCAATATCAAAACACAGGAAATGCGGACTACAAGCATATTTACTAGAGTAAATGTGAGACGTATAATTTTTTTCTTGAGACACTAATAATTTAAATGAATGATAAAGCGTGCTTATGAATTTGAAGAAAATATGTATGAAATGCAAGAAATAAAAATAATAAATTTTTTTAGTTATGTATTAACAGTATTCGTGCATAGAAAAATTCAACCATTCAACTATGTGTATATATAGATATATATGTATATATACGTTTCAAAAATTACAAAAAAAAAGTTTTTACAGTTTACAAGATTTAACCTTCTTATTAACCAAAGGCTCGAAATGAATCGATGTGAGCTTTGTGGGGGAACAGCCAATCGGAGGGCTTTGTGTAACTATGTGAGTGCAGCGCGCATGTGTGGTGTGTTGAGTCCCCTACCAATGTTCGGACTAATACCGTATCAATTAAGATTTACCAGCGAAAAAAATCAGTAAAAATTTGGAAAATGAACAAAAGTAAATGTTAATATAATGTTTTATTTGTTAATGCATATCACATTTTTAAAGACAAAATAATTTAAAGTTAACACTTTCGAGGTTAGGTTGTCAACGGTAAGTATACATACACGGTCAAGAGTAATTATAAATATTGTAATACTAACGTTATTTTTTTTCATTTATGAGTATTTAGGTTGAAAAAGTAGTTAATGTGTTATGTAGATAAAAAAAGATAAAAAAAGGAAGAAAAATGCGAAAGGAAATGCATCGACAAAAAAGAGGACCCGCAATAAAAACTCAGAGGAAAATAACATATTAATTTGGTTTCACACACAGCCTGCAAACATACCAGATGTGTTACGCCACATAATAAAAGAACATTTACAAATGATGATTCGGAAAATGGAAAAAATTGTCGAAAAATTCGTCGTACAAAAACAATAAAACGTGATAATTTTGTGGAGCCTAAAAAAAGAGATCGAATCTCTCCGCAAAAGTCTTCAAAATGTAAACAAACTTTCACGTCTGACAGCCGTGACAAATCAAAGACAATTAATTCAAGAAGAAACATTACACCAAATGATGAAAATGATGAACAATCATCATTGAACAGTGATACATTTGATTTACCGTGGGTAAATCCGTGGGTCAGAGGATGAAGAAATACTTACTAAAACAAAGAACTCTGTTTTATGGGCCACAAAAATAAAAAATTACAACATTGCACCTTTTTTACCATAAAGAGGACCGAAGCATAACTTACCAGCAGGTTCAACACCTAAAGATTATTTTTAATTATTTATTAACAAAGAATTTTATGAGAAAATCGCCATAACCATGGAAACAATAAACATGCATTTATTTACAACGTATAGCTGATAGAGCTGATAAGAAATGGAACCCAGTTATTTCAACAGAGATTCAGGCGTATATTGGTATCTTAATTTATTTAGGTATCGTCAATTTTCCTCAGATACAAATGTATTTTTTTAGTGATATAGTGCAGTGCCGACTCGTGGCCAAAACCATGACATTCCAAAGATTTATGTTAATTGGTAAATACATTCACTTATGTGATGAAAAACAGCGTGCCAAAGAGCATGACAGAGCAACGACGGATATTTTATAGATACAAGGTAAAAACAGATTTAGACATAACAAATATAAGTTCATAGAATACTTTCAACCTGGCTGTGACTTGTCGGTTGACGAAGCGATGATAACTTTCAAAGGATGGTTGAGTATCAAACAGTACATGCCTGCGAAACCGGACAAATGGGGGATAAAAGCGTGGACTATTGCAGAGAGCTTATTTGGGTATGTACTACGGACAAAAATTTATCTAGGCAAAAAGGAAAATATAAATAAAGAGTATCTCCTCGGTGAACAAGTTGTGCTAGACTTGTCAAAATCTTTGCCTAGAACAATCGTTATGTTTATTTTGATAATTTTTTTACGTCTGTCCGTTTTATGAAACTTCCTGGATAAAGGTACTTACGAACGTGGTACGGTTCGGCCTAATAGAGTAGATTGGCCTACTGAATTTAAAAAACCAGTTGGATTGAAACTTAAACTAGGTGAGTTACGTGCAAAGGCAGCATAACCAATTCATTGCCACTGTTTGGTATGACAAACGAGACGTATTAATATTATCAACAAACTGTGATCCGACCAAAGAAGTAATACGAACCGAAAGGCGACAAAGAAACAGTGAAAAAATTATCGTAAAATGTCCACTGTCAGTTGAAAAATACACAAGAGGAATAGGTGGCGTTGACTTGAGCGATCAGAAACGCTCTTACTACAAAGTAGGAAGACCTAGCAAAAAATGGTGGAAATACGTATTTCACTACGTGATTGATATTTGTATCATAAATGTCTTCGAATTGTACTCATTGAAAAATTCACCAGATCGATCCAAATCACTCAATCATCTACAATTTCCGCAACAATGAATAAAAAAAACTCATTGGCAATTTTTGTTCACGTAAGAGACTAATGTCAGAAATTATCCGACCGAGGATTGATGTAGAGCATGTTTTGGTCAGTGGAACAGCAAAGCTGTGCAAACAATATAATAAAGAAGAGAGAAGATCAGACAGTTGATTAAATATTCGAACAAAATGGCATTACAAGCAGTGTCTGGTAGCGCTTTGTAAGTTTAAATGTTTCATGAAATTTCGCAATAATAATAACAATGAGGATTGGAATAACAATTAGGACTTTTTAAAGTAAATTTTTGTAGGTAAATGAAAATTATAAATTGAATTAAAGTCATTTAAAAAAAGGTATAATGCACAATTTAATGTTAAATCATGAAAAAAATGAAGTTTACGAATGTATTTGTAAATGTGTTGAAATAAACAAAAATATTTTTAACGTTTTGCACTAAAATAAAACATTTCGAAAGTTTAGCGGTAAGTATAATTCGAATTTGCTATTTGGCGCTAATGACGGGAATGATACGGCACTGCGTACCACTGCCCCTCCACAGCTCACTATCGTGCGATTCGAAAGTGGAGAGAACATTGGTAAATAAGAGGGTTAAGATAAATTTAAATTATTATATACGATTATTCCTAATTTGTCGCAATGTATTTTATGATAAACATCCAGTTATGTAATTGAAAAAGTAATTTGACTGTACGTGCCCCGAATTTATTTCTCTATAATTTTATATTTCAAATAAGATTATATTGAATTATATATATCATATCAATGAAATTGTTTACCCAACTAGCTGTGACACCTAGATATCTGCGTGATCCTCCTGTCCATACATCAGCCGTAGTACAAACAAAACCACCACCATTGATCACCGAACTCATTGCGTCACCAATTTCTTGTAACATTGTCCTTAAAACTTCTGTCGACTCTTTTTGCCAAAGAGTAACATGTCAAGTGCTTCAACCGAGTATCACCTCTCTTTATTTTGAAATCTGTAAAGCAAATAGGTGATAAGTTGGGCTGACAAAATCAGAATTTTGCGGCAGTCTTCAGTTTATTAAAAATATTATAACTGTATAATTATACGTACCATTAAAAATTTTTCTGAAAGACGGATCTTCAACCGCTCTGAATGGTATCATATACTTTAATACAAAATTTGTGATATTTTGCTCAAATTCTTCTTGATTTAAAACACACGACCAGCGCTTTCTATCAATAACGGAAGTATTTTCCACACCATGTCGCTTTTGTTTTGCATATTCTAAATACTCATTATAAACATTTGCATGTTTTCTCTAGAAAAAATAAATAAAATATTAAATAAAATTGATAATAAGGAAATATACTGATATACTTTTTTTAATTGTTTTTAATTGGCAATAATTATGAGATTTTTTTAAAGTTGCAATAAACGTTTTTTTTTTACAATAATTCGTAATATAAATATTAATTCTGATAATTAACTATAAGTCATCGATATTATTTTAATTTGCAAGAAGTAGGGAGTTTTTGGATTTATTTTAATACTATAGATTATTTGGTGAATTTTATAAAATAATTTTTCAAATAAAAAAAAACCGTTGCATAAAATAATTCAAAAAATTAAGGAGAAAATAAAAAAATTGAGAAATTTGATCATAGAAATTTGGTCATGGAGATTATTTGGAAGAAAATTGTTTGGTCCAACAACACATTGCTAAAAAATACTATAGCAGAATCCCAAAAGAGTGAAGCCACTTTTAGACGTCACGTGATTAAAAATCGAATCAAAAAATAAAAATTGTTTATTTTCAGTTATTTATTTTAAATTATGCATTAGAATTAATTTAATTTACCTTCAAATGCGTTGTAAAGTTAGAAGTAATTCTAAATTTTCCTTTAAGTGCTCTTGTAGGATTACAAAATTGACATACAGCAACAACATCTCCTGTTACTGTACTTGATTTTGACTTGTCAACCTTAAAGTACGTTCCATCAAGACTTGTTGATTTATTGATGGCAGCTAACATCTTTTGTTCTTCAGTTATATTAATCTCTATATTATCGTCATCACTTGCATCGGAATTTTCCTCTTCATCAGTACTTGAGATAGAAGATGTAATTGAAATTTGACTAAGAGTTCTTTGTAACTTCACATTTTGATTTTTTTCATTTAAAATCACAGAACCTAATTTCTCTGTTCTTATCCTTTTGCGAATTGGAGAGTTTGTTGAGTCCATGTTAAATCTAAAAAATAATCATAAAAATCTTCCGATAAATAGCTCGAAAAAAAACATTGATCCAAGTAGATCTAATACCTGATTAGATCTAGTTAGATTCAATTTTTCCCAAATTTTAAATCTAACAAAATCAAACTAGATCTTAAAAGATCCAATTATATTTATTTAAGTATATTATTATTATTATTTTTATTTATAAACAAACTGCAATAATAGTTAAGGCTCCTGGGTAGTCACTGCAGCCATATTGAATTTCTTGCTATCGAGGCGAGAAATTACCCTATTTTATGTTGCGGTATTTTCCAAAATAAAAAGATATTTCAATAAAAAATTACTATAGATCGTTTCAGCACACTTCTAAAATTGACCGGATACTATCCTTTTCCCTCGACAATAAACAAACAGCCATAAAACGAAGCCTAAACATACGGAAAAACAAGTCGTTTTCGACTATCGAAAGGAGTGGAGAATGTTCCTTCTGCATATGTATTTCTTGCAAATCTTACAATACGGTCAATTTTACGAGTTTCACGAATACGTTAAACGTTATAGCACAAGTACAGAGCGAATAATAAAGAAATTTAACGCAACGCAAAATAGGTTGTCAACATGTCACAAGATAGAATTCTCCATTGGAGAGAGTGAGAGGAGAGAGTTCTTATTTCTGCCGCGACGGTATGGCGCCACCGTCAACGCAGAGTTCTCGGCTCAGGGACCAGGAGTCTTAAATTGAAGTTAACAAATTTTACAATAATTAAAAATTGAATTGGAAAATTAAAAGCATAATGTGAATTGTTTACTTAAATTATTAAGGATGAAAATATTTAACTTGTCAAAAAATGATAATATCTATCACAAAGATTAAATTTGTTTGGCGAATATTAATGCAAAAAGAATTAATCACAAAATGAATTGAGTACTGTTTCAATTAAATTAACAAAGTTATTTCAAAAAATGAATCTGTATTATTGTGTGGGTAATCCGACAAAGAATTGTACAACTTAAATCATTATTCTCCTTCATGATACAATCAAAATATAACAAAAATTTATCTTTTCTTTTTATGTTATCTGATTGTTGAATGAAATTGTATTATTATCGATATATTCCAATAATCACTGTTATATAATTTTCTAAATCACTAATGATTTATAAATTTATCTATAAACAAACAATGGATTATTAACCTGAATGAAAAATTTTTGGTACCGACTGTACACTATGATTATATATAACACTGTGCTGGCACTCTCAAACGACACTAATAACTTTAAAAAAAAAATAACCCTGTAAACACAATGCAACATGTAACGTACAGGTTAGTTGTAATTTCCTACTCAACAATATAAATGCAATATAACACGTGTTACATTGCATTTATATTGTTGAGTA